AAATGAAATCTACTTTTTTTTTCACTTTTAGTATTCAAGTCTCTTTTTCCTCGATTAATCCGGTTTTAAACAGTGGCAAATATGACTGAAATTGTTTATTTTCTGTAACAATTGATTTTTCATAATTGATGATGAAGGTAACAGTTTGTGAAACTGCGGTGTAAACTGTAGGACTTGTAGTTTTAATTTGTGCAAAGTGATTGGTGAAAAATGTAAGTAAAAATACGTTGTTTTCGGGTTAAAAGCAAAAATGCTCGGAATTAGATTTATTGCCGTCGGTTTACACTGCTAATGGTAGAAGAAGACCGCAACCATAAATTTATAAGCGGTCTGAAAAGTGCTGAAAGTTGCAAAAGCTTCAGCAAATATTAGTTCACTTATCTAAAGCTATAATTAGTTTTATTCAGTTTTCATCCATTTTTTTTTATAATATTTTTTAACCCTCTCTCGGCCTTATTTTGTTTGTCATTAATAATAGGTTTGGTTGGAGTCGCACGGTCGCGAAGAGAAGAAATGCTAAATAGTAAATAGACATGCACACACAAACATATTTATTTCACGAGTGGCTTTCGTGCTTGAGCTTTAGTACATAGCATTGAAATTGACCCCGTTTTTATGTGTATACGAGGCTATGTATCTGCACTATATACTAGGTGAATTACCGGACAGTTGGAACTAGCCAGTCCCGCGTTTTTTTTGTATATATATATTCAACCTCCACATACAAACCAAACACTCCATTTACTGCTATATATGTGTATTAGCACGTGCACTACTTTTGATTAAATTACATCGACTAGTTATTTATACCGATTTAGGTGTTCATCTTCCGAATTGGACGGTGCCGATCCCTTCGAGGTGTCTGGCGAGATAACAACGAATATATACGGCTCGCAGGATTTTATGCGAAAGTGCCGATAACATTGTCGAAAATGCCCTTTCAGTAGAAATATCCATTCATACTTTATTCATCTCTATTTTCCTTCTATTTTTTATACAAAACGCCAATCAATTTACGTTGCTCAACGATTTCGATCTAAAGGACATTATAAAAGCGCATTTACAAGTTTTTGGCGCGTTCAACTTTCATTTATTGAATTGTCCAATTTAAATATTACTGTCTCATACATGTTGTTATTATGTCAATATTAAATGAAAATTTTTATACAATGTCAAAATTATATCAATGTCATATTATATTATATCAATATCAAATTAAACTTTATATAAAATGTCAAAATTATGTTAATGTCAAATTAAACTTTCTATACAATGTCAATATTATATCATTGTCAAATTAAACATTTCATGCAATGTCAACTTCAATTTGACATTAAAACTTCTTATACAATTTCAACATTAAATCAATTACAAATTAAACTTTGTATACAATATCCATGTCAAATTAAACTACAATATCAATATCAACATTATATTAATGTTAAATTTTTAAACAATGTTAATATTTTATCAATGTGAAATGAAACTTTTGTACAATGTCAGAAATATGTCAATGTGAAATTAAACTTTTTATACAATATCGACATTATGTCAATGTCAATATTATGTCAATATTAAATAAAACTTTTTATACAATGTCAAAATTATGTCAATGTGAAATGAAACTGTTTATACAATGTCATAATATATCAATGTCAAAAAATTGTTTAATTCATCATTAATTTATTTCTATTTTGCATATTTCACTGTCGATTATACAGTTCCTCAACTTGTCCAATTGTAAACAGTCTGCACTGTTCATCAATGTATCTCTGTTTTGCGTGTTTTATGGACGTTAAAATCATCGACTATAAAATATTAAGTTAAATTTACCAACTGAGTGCTGCTGAGGTGCTTCAGAACTTTGGGTCAGTTTAATTTTTAATAACGAATTTCCACGGGAAAACTTATTAATTAAGTTTACGTAGTTCAAACTTAATTAATAATCAAATATTATTTATTTAAATTAGCAACTAATTAATTAACTTGCTGTCCGCATTACAAAATTACTAAAAAAATATTTAATTTTCTCGTTACATCATCAAATTCAATTATCTACTTACCTAATTTTACTTTACACTGCGAATATTACATAATAATAGACATGAACTTTTATAGGTTGAAAACGATTTATGCTCTATTTGAGCTTCGAGGAAGGACCTATTTTACATTATTTCTACAAGGAAAATATTTTCAGATTTAAAAAAATTAGGATTTCTATTTAAATAACATTTAGGGTTTAATTTCAGATAACATATAATTCAATTAAGCCCTTTTGTGTGTTGGATCAGTTACACTAATCCCCGGAATAATACATTTTGACCCTACTCAAAGATACGCACCGTATTAATACTATTCGAATATGAGGATGAAGATGATAAAGTGTGGATTATCTTATCATATTATTTTTACTTATTTGTACAGTACAACAAATTACAAGTTAATGTTTTGTACGAAAAAATGTAATATTTTTATTTGCAATAATCTTATCTAATTGCGTTTGTTAGAATTGTTTTTTGTAACATGTAATTTGAGAATTTAAAAACGTTATATCAAAGGAAATTAACGGAATGAAAATGATGTTTTTTTTTGTTGAAATAACTGGAATTGCTATTATCGTAGTCCTTTGACAACCGTAACTATACAATAACCTGAACATAATTTCGTTTCGCTTCAACTTAGGATATAACGTATCGCCGAGTTTGCGATTATGTGATTAATCCTGTCCGAAGCCTGTCAATAACTTGCGAATTTAATCCAGCAATTTGTAAGGATTTAAATTTAGTTGTTTAACACTGAAACAACTTTGTTTATAAACGTTATTTTTATGTATAAAGAAAAATTTCGATACAATTAGAAAATTATTATTAAATAAATTGTTCAATTTAATTAAATTAACTTTTTTAATAAATATCTTAATATTTTTGTAATAAAAAATCTTTTTATAACATTAATAATTACTAAACTACAATTTATCATCTGAGATTATAACCACGAGGATTACGGTAAGATTTATCACATAAATCAATCATTTGGGTTTACAATATCGCCTGGTAAATAAATGAAGTGAAAAATGTTAACTCGGTGCGCATTCGTTATTCGATTTATTTTGTTAGCAAATCCTAAAATAATGATTCATCATCAATCACAATATTTAAAATAGATTTGTACATATCGGTATGCTTATTCCATTGCCCAGGAACTGAAGATTAGCCAAAAAAAAACCATTTGCATAAGGCTGGTCTGAAAAAGAAGCTCGATGTATGGGACAAAACGCTCAGAACTTTTTACCTCACCCAATATTTATATTTTATGATTTTTATGAAGAAACTATTTATAAAACCATGATATTTAGTTAAAACATGTATTTAATCAATTTTACGTTAGTTAGAGAATAATTAAATACTTAAACGTAAAAAATGTGAAAAGAAATTTTATATTGTAAAAAAGTATATATAAATCTTGTTGTTTTGTTTTTAAGTATACTTATTTTGATTACGACTTAACGTATAATCTTTTCAGAAATACTAATCTGGATTTAAATTATAATTTTATTTAATAATTATAAATGTATTTACAAATTCTCATCAGAAATTTTGCTGTTATTTTTTTTTCAATTATAATGAAATTGAAACAAATATTGATGTTAAAGTCGTAGAAATTGTCGTTGCATATTATCTATCATTCAATTCATAGAGTATTTTCAGCGCTGTGATGTAATTATTGGTTGAAACTACTAAGCAGTGTTTAATTGCTTCGATAAAACATGATTTTACCATTAAACGTGATTTACATTCCGTGTTCTTCGTATGCAGAATTAGTAACATACATTTCCAAAATGCTGAAAATATTTCACATATTGTCATTATATATTGCAACGGGGAATAAATATACAGTGGAACTTCGCTTAACGAGCAAAATAAATTGTAAGAAAAGTGACTCGCAAAATGGAACGCTATCGTATATTACATTAGTTTATATGGGGAAAATTGTTTCACTATACGAATAAAAATCCGGTAATTTTGGAAGGGATTATTCACGTTAAGCGAGGTTCCAATTATTATTTGATATTGATTCGATATATTTGACCACGACTTATTTCATAATATTTATGATGATATTAACTAAATGGTTGTTAATTATATTAACTTTATGATGATAATAAATTACACTACATTTTCGGGTATTTTCGTTATTGATCATTTTTGGTCATACCTTTTTTTTTACATATAAATAAATGTGAAGGTTAATAATATAAATACTTATTATTTAGCTTCATAAACTTTACATAATCTGTAGTTAAATGTGAAGTATTGTAAGATTCTGAAAATATATCGTGATTATGTTTATTAATGAAAAATTCAAATTTTACCATTCACAATTTTTTATATAAGAAATTATCAAATTTTATGTAAATAAAAAATAAAAATTTCACATGTAATCAAGTACTTTTTCTTTAAGTACTTTATGAAAAATAGCAATAATATATCAAAAAATGTATATAAATTACCAATAATTTATTTTTCTTTAAATTTTCGAATGTTTCTGTATGATTTATGAAAATCTAATTATAAATAAATGTTTAACAAATATTTATAATTAAATAATACTGAATTAATATATAAAATTCAAAATAAATGCATTAAATCCTCGACTTACGCGGTTAATTTGTTCCAAAAATTTTAGTGGAAGTCGAAAACCGCTTAATTTGAAAAATAATATAATATAAATCTGTGTACAAATTGCAGAAATATTAAATTGAGTATTCAACCTTTCCTGCATACACAAAATGTAGAAAATTGGCTTAACCGCGTATATAACATCGATATTTGATATTTGTTTTTATACATTTCCATTCATCATTTGTGTTTTTACACATTTTCATTCATCCCTTGTTTTTCACACACAGTCATAAAAATATACATAATCACCTGACAACAAATTTTCCATTTATCAAACCGATCATCCAGATTATTAGCGTTAACATTCAATGTCCGCAGATTGATAAATTACAACGTTTTCGAACGAAAATAAATTGAACGTTTCTGCAATATTACTAATTGTGATCGTGCACTGTGATCGGATCGTAAAAGTCGTCCGGCAAAGCAGCACAGAAGAAAGTGATAAGATTTTGTTAAAGTAATTGGTTCGTGATAAACGGAGAGTAATCTACAGGAATGGCTTTCGCTGCAGCTCGTATGATCCTCAAAGATAAGCGAAGAAAACCATCGAAAGAAGAATTTGTGCCGCCCAGACATCGCAGCAAGGTAAATCAATACGTAGGAAACAAAAAATACTAAGAAATTAAATACATTTATAAAATTTGTTTTTAAATAGATTTCATAATCAAAATATTATGTATTATTACGTATAATAATCACTCAAATAACGCGAACTTGATTTTACACGGTGTTTCGATTAACACGATGAAAAATTGCCACAATCCTATACTTCAATTGCACGGTTTCTTTAGTGTATACTTATTTATTTAACAAAATTATTTTATATTTATAATGGTAGTTTCGAATAAGACGGTTATGAATAAATACAAAAGTTCAACATTCTTTTTATTTCGATATTCACTTTTTTTTTTATATTTATTCAATTTCTAAATTAAAGAAAATCTGTTAATCTGATTTCATTATAATAATTGTTGTTTATTATATTTTGTAACCAAAATTTGTTAATAAATCAATTAAAATTTGATTGACACTAAAATAAACTTAACATTGATGGAAACATTCTCATCCGAATGTTTATTTTTTTTTGATATTGGATGAATATGCGAAAACTGAGTCATCGATCAAAGTATAAGAAGGAATGTCGATCAGTCTATTGAAAGTCTATGCGAACATCGGCATGAAATAACTCGAAGTTGGACATTAATCATTTCATTCATGACATGTCCGCGCAATGTTGAAATCATGCTCAACCATGTAAAACAGTCTATTATTTGTACCAAAATCCCGAACATATTATTACATCACGCGTCTAATTACTTTGATCGAGAATTTACCTGCATTCAAACGTGTTAACATTTCAAACCAGATTTAGTGCATTATTATACAGCAATACCTCGCTTAGTGAAACAACCAGGATTGTTTGAAACCGGATTAATCGAGGACAAAAACTATATTTTTTTAAATTTTATTTCAATTTTACTCAATTAAAATGTAGTTTCTATTGAAATTTTCAAATATCACTGTTTGAATCCGCACTATGCGAGGGTATTGCTGTATTTATTTCAATTTTCAAAATAAATAAGTTTTATTAACTCTAAAATGGAAATAAAAAAATAATATTTTCTAATTTATTTACATAATAAATATTGAATAAGCTTAGATTTCATATAAAAATTGTAATGTATTTATTAATAAATCATATAAAAAAAAATATATGCAACAATCAACATTCGCAATTGATTTACTACATGGAAATACATTTTATTAATCTGTCTATTTTCATATGATTTCAATATTTTTAAGTACAGGTACTTACGAACTCCCGACTTACGAACTAACGGACTTACAAATAAAATTCTAAAACCTCTAACTTGTAAAAAGTAACAATGTCAAGAAAGTTTTCAAGAACTTAAATTAGTTAACAAATTGAAAAGTTGAAGAATTGGATAAAGGTGAAACACGTCAGATTTAGGAAGTTGATATTGTTTGTAATTTGTTTTCTTGTTGTTGGATTGGATGTAAATGTATACGAGGTTACGACTATTAGAATTAGATTGTTTTCGTATAATTCCAATTAGTTTAAAGGATTTTTATTGGAGGATTATTAAATTTAATTGATTGGTTAATTTTAATAATTGATTTTATTATTAAAAAAAAGTAAAAATGTCAAGAAAGTTTTCGAACTTAAATTAGTTAACAAATTGAAAATTTGAAGAGTTGGATAAAGGTGAAACACGTCAAATTTATGAAGTTGATGTTATTTGCGTTTGTAATTTGTTTGTAATTCGTATAAATGTATACGAGTTTACAACTATTAGAATTAGACTGTTTTAATATAATTCCAATTAGTTTAAATGATTTTTATTGGAGGATTATTAAATTTAATTGATTGGTTAATTTTAATAATCGATTTTATAATTTAAAAAAACAGTAAAAATATTAAGATAGTTTTCGAACTTAAATTAGTTAACAAATTGAAAAGTTGAAGAGTTGGATAAAGGTGAAACACGTCAGATTTAGGAAGTTGATGTTATTTGCGTTTGTAATTTGTTTGTAATTCGTATAAATGTATACGAGTTTACAACTATTAGAATTAGACTGTTTTCATATAATTCCAATTAGTTTAAAGGATTTTTATTGGAGGCTTATTAAATTTAATTGATTGGTTAATTTTAATAATCGATTTTATAATTAAAAAAAAGTAAAAATATGAAGAAAGTTTTCGAACTTAAATTAGTTAACAAATTGAAAAGATGGATAAAGGTGAAACACGTCAGATTTAGGAAGTTGATGTTATTTGCGTTTGTAATTAGTTTTTTTGTTGTTGGTTCGGATGTAAATGTTTACGAGTTCAGACACATATCGAAGCACATCTTGTCGCGATTGACACGAACCTAATTAGCAGGCTTCGATCGTTACCGATATTTCCGCAAATTGTTGAACACATCATCATACCACACCTCCTACCCTTCCCCTAGCCGATGCAATTGTTTCCGGCTCGCCCCAAAAACAATGGGAGGAACAACTATCGATTCACGCTTGGAAACTTGGTTTGCTCGGAGAGAAGAGAGGCATTTCATAATTGCAAATTTTTACCTTATACTAAAATGAAGTTTCCACCACTTTCGGTCTTTCTCATTCGACGGACCACTCTCATTCCCACTTCGTGCAAAACGGAAATTGAGAATCGATCGAGCTTTATAAAAGGTTGTGAAAGATAGAAAGAAAGAAATAAAAGAAAGAAAGAGATTCTGGATACGACTGGACGCGAATGCAATGCATTAAAATCATAGTGCGCACAGTTAATTATTTTTGTTATGAACTTCTTTTCTGTGTGTTTCTTTTTCAGGCGCGCAGCGGCAGCGCAAGTAGCTATAGAAGTCTCAGTCAGGTAACTGTAATTAAAAGAGCAACAGAAAACAGTTAAGATAATTGCTGAAGACAAAAATCCGTGTCAATTATCTTATGCCCCCCTATGTTTATTAGTGAAACTGTTCAAGTCGAAACGACAGCTGTAGTTGTTGTTTGCTAGTTTTGAAGTTATTTCTTGCATGTTTTTTTATCTAATTACGAATTGCCTGAGTTGTTTTTAAGCAATTAGAACCATCTCACTTGTAAGAAAATATGAAGTAATATAAAAAAAAAATTCTTGAAAATTTGAAGTTGTCGCGACGGCCCTTTTTAATCCTCCACCACTGATAATTATTAATTATTTTATGAAACTGTTTTTGCAAATTTATAGTTCATACTGATCATGTTACGCTTGTATTACGTAGATTTGGTTTGGATTTTACGGTGTTTCAGGAATTTATTTAATACCTTTTTGAATTTTTCAGGCAAGAAACAAACCGGCCGATGGGAGTGTTGGACACGTCGGACAAAAGCAAGGTTCGGGTCCGAGGACTCCTACCCATGGATCTAAGGGTGGACAGCAGAAGGGCTCCGTTAAGCAGGGCCAGAAACCTGCGACTCAGCAGAAAGGGCAACTCATTAAGCAGGCGCCTGCAAAGGCTGCTTCTGCTGTGGTCACCACTCCGACCTCAACCACTGTCAAGAACACCAAGAACAAGAAGAAGGGAAAACATCATCAGCACGACCTCATCGTCACCATCAATCTGGTAATTATAAAAAAAACATCAATTTTTAATTTTCTTCTAAAAGGAAAACTCAACAGTATTAAATATAAGAATTACTTTAATGGAAATGGGAACACATTTTTCTTTATGCTTTTATATAAGAAAATGTCTAGAAGAACATTAAGGGTGTGAGGTTAGTGTTAGTGTACCACTGTAACTTGTGAAGTAAACGTTAGGTTGTCATGAAATTTTGACAGGAGTCGAAGATTGGTACTATGTATTTGTCGATAGAGTCGCCATCTATATGTCATCCTACAAACTTATTGAGTGAGGTGTTAAGTATCATTAACTCAATAGAAAACTAAGTGGTTGTGTACCAAATATAACCTGATAAAATACCCTTAGACCTGACATAAAACTGAGTGGTACAAATATAAACTAGTCTCGAAATAATACAACTTTATATAAGTTATGTATCACGTACTGATAATAATAGTTATTACTTTATATTACGAATAAGATAATTATGATAAATAAAATGTAATTGTTACAAATTGCAATATAACTTAAATGGAGACTCGGTTGATACCGCACATGTTATGGAATGTATTATTAAAGTTGTTGCACGTAAAGCTTGGCGTGAACATGTTCAGGGCTCAGTTCCAAGATGTAAGATTTGGGGCGAGTTCCAACGTTGCACAAGGTTCGATGATAGAAAGTAGAAAGTCCCGGAATGAACAGAAACCCCTATAGGTACATATATATTTGAGTTTAATAAAGGAACATCATAAATTACTAAAAAAAAAAACAACAACTACAAATAAACATTTCAAATGGGACAAAAGCGAAACGGAAAATTCCTGCTGCAATTGTTTACTGCACGGCGACTATGAGAACGGTTTTCCATATGAAAGCTGTCGTTTGCATCGTGTGGAAAAGCTCGCACCGGGCTTCGGAGATGAAAAGTAGATGACATGCTTCTTTAATATTGATTTCCCTGAAATCCCGTCGTGCCACTTGTATATGTTTCAACTCAGTTTTAGTGCCCAATAAAATTTAAGTTACATACGATATCGCCGTTACGTAAGATATCGTCTTTGGAAACCAGTAAGAAAGTAGTTTGTCGACACGACCTTTTTTTAATATATTTTTATATAAAGTGCAGTCTTCTTAAATTATTCCAATGTTCGACCTTGTCCACAGTTCGATTTTTAAATTTGTTCATATTTTGAGTTAAATTTTACTTATAAGATATAATAGTAAATTTAATTATACATTTTTTTCAGAGCCTATATTTTTCTTTCAGAGCCTGAAAATTAACTGAAAATAAAAATTTACAACCAATAGCTCGCATAGTCCGAATAGCTGTACTAATTGAGTAAATTAAAACAAATTCAAACCGGACTATAGTGAATCCGGACTATGTGAGGTTCTACATTTTTATTAAAGAAGAAAACTGTCTAATGTTATTTGTTTTTTCATTAAATATGGGCAGAGAAGAAACTCCAAACAAAACAAATCTATTTTCGAATATTTTGTTTGAGTTTCAAGTTATTTTTTTGTGCAAGTTTCGAGAATTTTTTAGTTTTGATTCATTAATTTGCAGAATTAATTAATTATCATTTCATAACTTAAAAATATAAATTTATGAAGTTAATTGTATTTAATAAATATGAAATTTGAACTTATGATGTAATAAATTGAAGGTCGTAATGCAGCTCAGATGTAACTATTTATGAATCTTCTGTTTTATTTGTATGTTAATTGATAAACTGTATGGTAAAGACATAATAAATTATTGGTTGTAATGCAGTTCAGGTGTCGGTTAATGCGAAGCGTGCCAAATGCACGCTATAACTAAAACTATTTAAAAATATTTTCCCCCCGCGTTGAGTTTCACGCTTAATTGGTAAATGGCACATTTTTATTATCTATAAATAAGCATCTGTAGAGCAGCAAAGCTTAAAAATACCGACAAATATAAAACAAGATAGAAAATGCATTAAAATTGTGTGATTAGGAGGTGGACAAATACACCGACAAATGTAAATGCCTTCGGGTCGAGTGCGTCTGAAAATAAAATTAGTTTTGCCCCGAAATTCTCTCGGATTAGTGTTGCCGTTTTCTTGTTCCTGTTGAGACGGTTCTATTTTTCGCGCTCGAGGCCCGCACGCCGCCGACCCAACAAAAACCTCATCATCATCACCACCACAAACACAACTATCTCCAAACAGAATGGGCACATACGGCAAGGAATACACGAGACTCCTCAGACTTACAAGTAATATAGATGTTATACAGACCTCAGTATGTTCACAGTTTCATCAACCAGATAATTTGCGTGGACTGTATCCCGAAAGCGGCCTACATATGCTATATTCCTGTTACCTCTTCTGTTTTCGGTAGAACGAGTATGGGTTGTCGGAGGATCAGGTGGCTGAGTTCAAGGAGGCTTTCATGCTCTTCGATAAAGACGAGGATGGGAACATCACGATGGCTGAGCTCGGAGTTGTCATGAGATCATTAGGGCAACGTCCGACTGGTACTAATTCAATTACGGATATAATTGAGTACCTTTTATTACATCCTTTTTTATTGAAGAAACCGAATTGCGAGACATGGTCAACGAAGTTGACCAGGATGGGAATGGAACCATCGAGTTCAACGAGTTCCTTCAGATGATGTCCAGGAAGATGAAAGATTCAGATGGAGAGGACGAATTGCGTGAGGCTTTCAGGTATACATTTCATACAAAATCTATTTACTAAACCATAAACATCATAACTTAATCGAATGTTTTGTCGCACGAAAAAAGCAATCTATTAATACATATAAACTCACGAGAGACATCTAAAAAAACAATTTCGTTAGAGTAAATAATAAATTGTCTAAAAATATATATTTCACAAAAATTCATCGGTTTAAGTTTTAAATTCACTATAGTCCGACTTGAAAATTTCAAAACAAACAATTTTTTATTGGAGACAAATAAAAATATATTCCAAAAGAAATATTAGTAATCTGGCGATTACTCGCACTATGCGAGGTATTGCTGAAATATACTATAAGGATTATAAAGTTATTAGTGTATATTACTTAATTTAGAAGATTCAAATAGTTCACACATAACGTAACATTTGATGGAGATTTTATGTGATGTACTTTATATTCAACAGCACGAATCTTTTGCAGCCGAAGGTCAACTTGGGTAAAGTATAAATCCCGAGGCCTTTTGCATCATGCAATAAAAATTGTCAAAGTTATTGAAAAAGAAACAACTTATAAATTGGCAGCTGAAATAGAGCTGAAAGTCTAAATGAATTGCGTTTTTGCATGCGCAGGGTATTCGACAAGAACAACGACGGATTGATCTCTTCGAACGAGCTTAGGCATGTCATGACTAGTCTTGGGGAACGGCTTTCCGAGGAGGAAGTGGATGACATGATCAAGGAAGCAGATTTGGATGGAGACGGTCAGGTCAACTACGACGGTGAAATAATTACATAATTGCTCAATAAAATGCACGCCAAATAACATTTTACTTGCAGAATTCGTCACCATTTTAACTTCAAAGCATTAGGCCCAAAGGTACAACAACAAAGAAAAAAAGGAAATTCAGAGCTTATGATGTATAAATAAATAAATAGTGTGCTGTTCGATGATTAGGTAATACAAAATACATGTCTAAACTTTGATGAAATAATAATAATATTCCGCACAAAAAAAATAATTGCTTCGATAAATACTAACCTCTATATTAGTGACTGTAATTAAGTGTCTGAAACTAATGGAATTTAACGCAATCTTTAATTTTTTTCTTCTCTAACTCCTTATATAATTATTTATAATGTAATTTGAATAGACTTGAGATTTTTAAATCAAAATTTACTATGCGACCAAATAAATTTTCAAAAGGAAACGAATTTTCTGTATTCAAAATAAACATTTTAATCTAATATTTACGTTAAATTTAACAATTTCATTTCGTTTTTCGACAATAAGCAAATAAAAAACATATACGTAAAAGATACAAGAATTGAGATTTGTTATTTGATTGATGCGTGTCTTCCTTTGGACTTGATTTTCATTAGACAAACAATCAAAAAAAAAAACATATTAACTTTTATGGATTTACTAAGAAAACATGTGTTTATTTATTTTTGCATAGCTTAGCCGATTGTTCTGCAAACTTAGACTAAGTGTACTATATTCTTCGGTGTGCAAATGAAATAGATTAATCGTATTAATCCACTTTGAATCTAAACAGAATGTTAAACGTGTTATTTTCTTAATCTTCTTCTATCGTCACGTTCGTTTGAAAGTTTACAAATAAAAAAGGAATACGTTTATATCCAATATTTGGGATAGACAGTTTTCACTAGATTGTTGACATTTGTTAAACGTTTGTTGTTGTTTACCCACAGACAACTTTATTAATTAGTTTATAATATAATTTAAGCATCCGTTTTTATTTTTAAATATATTGAATATTTACAAATGTTTGAAAAGAAATATATTATTGTATAACGAAAATGATTTCCACTTAATTAATCCTTAAAATTCCTCTCATTAAATACAATTTAATCTATTATATGATTATAATGAATTGTTATCAGTGTTTAAAGCTTGAAAGGCCCCAGTCGAAATTCAATTGCAGGGTTAATTCAATCTTTCTTTACTGAAATACGAGAGTTTGCGGATATTAAGGGTGGTTCCGTTTGCGGGGTGAAGGTGCTGACTTCTAAAAAAAATATTTGTGAAGCGGGGCATCATTCCCAAAAAAAGTACAAGTGTACTTTTTAAGATTTGAAGTCCCAGGATCTCAGCTCCTACGCTTGTGTGGAGTTCCATTGACGGTTATTCATACAATAAAACGCATGTGCAGCTGGATTTTCCTTATTGGATGATAAGGTCATCCGCTTTCTTAATTCAGGTAAAATAAAAATGTATTTTAAACGAAACAGGTAAAAGTAAGTTTTACTTCAATTCATGACCAGTTCTCTACGATGGCTTGTTCATTAATGTTGAATCTAGTTAAAATAATCTGCACGTTATTTATATTCAATGTGTTAGCTTTAAAGAAACAGCAAAAATCAGGTAAATTTAAAATAAATTTTAATTGTACGAATGTTGAATTGTTTAAATTTTAGGTGATTTTTGCATTATGGAGACGGGAAAACCTGGACGTTGCATAGGAATCAAGGATTGTCCTGAAGCCCTCGAACTGTTGAAGGAAGGAATTGCAAGAAAAGTCTGCAGCTATGATAATGGTTATCCAGTCGTGTGCTGCGGGAAAACGCCGGGAGTAAAAAGTCTAACATGTAAGTAAATAATTTTATAGTTGTTATTGTTCAAATTAAAAAGAATTTATTTCAGATTGCAATAATACACAAACGCCAATACCAAAGTTCGAAAGGTTCCCTATAATCGGTGGTGGAATTCCATCTCTTGCCAAAGAATTCCCTCACATGGTTTGTAAACGTTTCTAGTTTAAATGATCAAATTAAATATATATTATAATTTTTAGGCGGCATTAGGCTTTGATAACAATGGAAAAATTATTTGGGGATGCGGAGGTAGTCTAATCAGTACGAGATTTGTATTGACAGCATCTCACTGTTTATTCTCACCCGAATTGTAAGTACTAAAAAAAAAAGAATAAATTAAATATTTTTTCTTAACAAAAATCTCTTTCAGCGGTCACGTCAAATATGTACGACTTGGTGACTTGAACTTGACGAGCAACGATGACCAAGCGTTGCCACAAGATTTCACAGTTTTAAGAACGCACAAGCATCCGATGTATAAGCATCCATCTAAATACCACGACATAGCTTTGCTCGAATTGGATGGTGAAGCGAATATGACTGATTACGTAAAACCTGCATGTCTGAAAGTTGATAACTTATCGACGTCCGATGACTACATAGCAACTGGTTGGGGTTCAACATCTTTTTATGGAGATACTTCGGATCACCTTCAAAAAGTTAATTTGCAGGAGATCAAAAATGGAGAGTGTAATGAATATTACCCAATGAATGACAGGATCCTTAAGAAAGGTATTCAAGAGACCTATCAGATTTGTGCAGGAAATCCTGGGAAAGATACTTGCAAGGTAATGTATACTACAATATATACATTTTAATATATTAATTAATTTATTTTTTAGGGAGATTCTGGTGGTCCTTTGCAGACATATAATGACGAGTATCGAAATGCTTATGATATCGTTGGAATAACATCGTTTGGAAAAGCTTGTCTCTTGACGTTAAGTCCAGGCGTTTACACAAGAGTAGCAGGTTACATCGAATGGATCGAGGAAATCGTATGGCCACAGCTAGAGATTTAAGATAAAAACAATAATTGGTATATGATACCAGAGATAACAAAATATCTTCTCATATTTGATTAATAACTTTTACTTTTTGTATAAATGTATTCAACATTTTCTTTTTTGCAAAAATTATAATAAAATTAATAACAGCAAAATTATTCGTTTCTTCAATTTTTATGATTAACACTAAATAAATATGAACAAAATTATTGAAAGTAATTAAAAATAAGTGAAAGTGCAGAATTATAAAATAATTTATTATTTTAAAGCAATGTCTTTAATAAAAACTCGATATTCAAACAAACAAGTTTAATGAGCTTAGATTTATTTCCATCATAATCACTACATATATATGCAATAACAAATGATGCGGTTTTTTAATTTACAAAGATGGTTTAAATCAACGTCTTCATGATGCTTCGCACGCGAAACTTGTTTGTCGTCTTATTATTCATAAACAATTTAATAAATTTACATAATGCAGAAGGTATAGAAAATATTGATTTAATTAATTATTATACTAATAATTATTTACATTCTAAGAGATGTTTGCACTTTGGATGATGGTTCCAAAGGAAATTGCATAGGTATAAAGAATTGCCCAAAGGCTATAGCACTGTTGAAGGAAGGACAAGCTCAGAAGGTGATAATTACCCGATTGTTTTTTGCGATGGAATAACCCAGCAAATACTAAGAGACAAGAGTCTAAAATGTATGTAATTAACGTCCAAATTGGTTAAAACGTCTCCATTTTAGATTGTAGGTTATCGCAAATTCCGAAACAAATATATCTTGTAATTGGCGGTGAGAAACGTGAGAAGAGTAGAGAATTTCTTCATCTGGTATATATGCATTGATCGATTTATAACAACAAAATCAATCGATTTAAGATGCTTTTGGATATAATAACAACGGAAGCATAATTTGGGGATGCGGAAGAATTCTGGTAAGTATAAAGTTCGTGTTGACTGTTGCCCATTGTTTGCGTCCTAAGTTAAAAAATAATTGAAAAATAATTAACAATTTTTAGGGGTAACATCAAACATGTGCGATTAGGAGATATGGACTTGAACAGCAATATAGATGATGCCTGATCGCAAGATTTCCTCGTTTTGAAGACGTACACACATCCGGATTATAAGCATCCTTTGAAATATCATGACATAGCTTTAGTGGTATTAAGTGGCGAAGCTCAGATTACCGCTCATGTAAGGCCTGCGTGTCTTAATATTCAATCTACACCGGATTGTAGCAGATACACTGCAATCGGCTGGGGTTTGCTATCATTTCACGGTGAACCTGCAGATTTTCTGCAGAAGGTGAATGTCGATGAGCATTCAGGAATCTTATCAGATATGCGCTGAAAATTCAGGAAAAAACACCTGCAAAGTACTACAACTTCCTTTTTTGGTATATGAAAATTATATGGTTTTAGGGTGATTCTGGTGGATCGTTACTGCAGAATACTTAGAACTATGAAACAGCTTAAGATATTCATGGAGTTACGTCATTTTGAAAAGTCCAGGTGTTTACACTAGAGTTTCCAATTACATTCAACGGCTTGAGTCAATAATTTGAACTTATGATGTAATTGAAACAAAAGAAATCTAACATATTTTTTTATAGATTAAGTTGATTTTTATAACCAATTTTGATTCAACGTGACAGTAAATGTCATTTATTATTCAATTAATTTGTCTAAATAAAATTATTTTAATTAAATTAATTTCACTTATTATTTCTTTAAATGTTTAAATAATATATTTCAGTGAGGGATCAAAAACTAATAATTTTTTATTTTTTTTGTACACAATGTAATTAAATTATTATATTTTGAACTTGGATGAAACAGACACATTTTTTTTATTTCAATAAATTTGATTGAAATACAATGAAATCACCATAATTGTAGCAATAGTTTCAAATATTTTTATAAAAACTTGAACTGTGATAAAATGTCCTTGAAGATATTTCGAACCAAGGATTTCAGACAATTACATTTGTGGATTAGTCAATGTCAACTAGTTATCAATACTTATAAGTAATTGTTTTTCCATGGAGATTTTATTTGAAACTTTTGATTGAATAAAAAGTAATGAAGATTTTAATTTCAGTCAAAACAAACTTTAATTTAGTCTTTGGCAATTATTAAATAAAATTACAGTATCAAAAAATATTAATTATATCCTTGTCTTATTTTATACATCCAATAACAACTTATATTATTAAGTAATTATCAAAAACTCGTTTGAAGACGAATTTCGTAAATTTAGTTATCCGCAATGCTTCGCACTCAAAACATGTCTGCTGTGTACTATTTTATAGTAATTTTAGTGAACAATTTAATACATTTGCAGAATGCGAAAGATATTGGTAATTTTTATAATTGCTTGATTATTTTTAAATTAAAGTAAAATAATCAATTTTTAGGAGACTCTTGTACTTTGGAGGATGGCAGCAATGGATACTGCACGGGGATAAAGAATTGTCCAGAGGCTCTTGAATTGCTGAAAAATGGAAGTACTCAGAAAGTCTGCAAATATGTGAATGGTTTTCCCATCGTTTGTTGCAGCGAAACGTCCGGTCAATTCCCAGGAGCCAAGAGTCTTAAATGTACGTTTATTTATAAAATGACTATAAGATTGCAAAATATAAATTTGTTTATTTATATCAGATTGTAAAGAAGTGCAGACACCGTTAGATGAGCATGTCAGACTAAGATTCGTTAGACTCATTGGAGGAGGAAAACCTTCAAAACCTAGAGAAATTCCTCATATGGTATAAAATATAGATCTTCTAGATCGGATTAGTTTAAATCTGATGAACTTTTCAGGCTGCATTGGGATTTTATAGTAACGGAGAGATAATCTGGGGTTGCGGTGGAAGTTTGATCAGCACAAAGTTTGTTTTAACCGCGGCCCATTGTTTGAAATCCCAAGAATTGTAAGTTTAAATTAAAACTAATTTCACTTACTTTACATTTGTTTCTTGTAGCGGAGATGTAAAACACGTGCGTCTAGGAGATTTAAATCTGAAGAGTAATTTAGATGATGCCTCTCCGCAGGATTTTCTGGTGTCAAAGATACACAAACATCCGGATTATAAGATTCCATCAAAATACAACGATATAGCTTTGATTGAATTGTATGGTGAAGCTAAGATTAGCGCTTACGTGAAGCCTGCTTGCTTGAATATACGTAAAAACCCTAGAATAAAATATTACGAAACGAGCGGTTGGGGTTCGGTGTCTTTCCACGGTGAAGCTTCGGATCATCTAATGAAAGTATATCTGTATGAAGTAGATAATATCGAATGCAATACATATTTTGACTCAAATGAACGTTTGTACCTTTATGGCATTCAAGAATCGCTTCAGGTGTGCGCTGGAAGTCCCGGAAAAGACACTTGCAAAGTATATTATCTCTTTATTCAATATAACTTTATTTACAATATATATTTTTAGGGTGATTCTGGTGGTCCATTACAGCAGGTAAATTACAACTATAATAACGCTTACGACATACATGGAGTTACGTCTTTTGGAAAAGCTTGTCTTCTTACTGAAAGTCCAGGTGTTTACACTAGAGTTTCCAATTACATCGAATGGATTGAGTCAATCGTATGGCCATGATCAACCATTCTGATATTCTTAAGCATATATTTGATTACATCGACGAACAAAATAAATAAAAAAGCAATGTTTTTCTTTCATATTGAAATTGAAAATCTGAATTTTGCTATGTATTTTGTTGCAATAAAGAAGCGATTTTTCATTTATACATTTGTTTCTGATATGTTTAATGAACAATTAAAATAAAGAAAATTATAATGTAACCAAGTTTTTAAATGATTCAAAAAACATAGTATTACAGGTTGTAAACAAAGTAATTATAATTATTATAAACAATTTATCGTTAATAAACATAAGGTAAATAATCAACTTGTAAACAATCATTTGTACAATTGTTATTATTTTAGGTGGAGTTGATAGCAACATGCCTTTAATGTATAGTTGATGACCTTAAGTTCTCCAGAAAGTGGAAAGCATTCCTTACTAGCAGTTTTCATTTGCAGAATGTTACCAAAAATATTACTTCATGGAAAAAACAAAAATGTTAATTTTCATCAAATCCCCAGAAAGAGACTAAAAGTATTTTATATAACTATCAATCTATATTTTCACTTATTTTAATCTTTGTATATTGTAGATCAACATTCATGTTCAACATTCTTCTAAAAACAAGTGCTTACGAAAATACAGGCCATTTTCGAAAAAGATGTTTTCCAAACTATCTAATACCAAAGTTTGATAATTAATTGTCACGAAGCTATGGTAGCCACAACCCTGTATTTACACTCATTTTAATCTCTGTATATTTAAGATTAACATTAATGTCCAAAATTAATCTGAAACTTGGTGTATACGAAAATACAGGCTATTATCGAAGACGTTATTTTCCAAACTCATTTGTGAAATACCTACGTTTGTTAATCAATTATGAAGACACCATTGCAGCTACAAACTAATATTTATGCTTATTTTAATCTGTGTATATTCAAGATCAACATACATATATAAGATTCTTCTGAGAGCTCATGCTTACGAAAATACAGACCATTATCTAAGACGTTGTTTTTCTTATTGTTTATCATAGTGAATATGTATGATCGGTTGCCTGTACTTTAGGCGTAAAATAAATATTCCATTTTTTGTGACAGCTGGCACCATCTGTTAGCGATATCTCAAAGGTTGTAGTTCAGGCATTTTGGCGCTGCATAAAATCCACTTCTTTAAAAACGTTCTAATCTAAATAAACCAAGATGTCAACATAGGTCTTGAACAAATGTAACATTAGTACTTTAGTTCAGTAATTTAAATGCTAATTAGTTTTCAAGTTATAAGCATTTTAATTATGACAAGCAGCGACATCTGTCGGAATTTGCAGGAAATAATCTGCAACAGGAATACGTATGTGTGGTTGCAGACTGTTTCTTGAATATGCTTAATAACTTATTAATTGTTCAAACATAATTAATTTTATAGGAAATGAATGCGAAAGAATCATTTTTTAGAACAGTAAATTAAAAATTTCAATTCTATATGAATATAACCATTTATTTAACTATTTTTTTTCTCAATTTTCTGCAATACCTTTAAATTAATCGATTACCTCTCATGAAAATTAAACCATCAAATACGCAAAGTTAATTTAAGTTTGATTTAATAGTTATTTTTAGTTGCGTTAGAAGAAGTTCTTTATTTTGATTATTTGTGCTGAAAAAGGAAGTTTTGGTTTATTGGGAGAAGCTGGTTACCTTAATTATTTGGGCGGAAGAAGAAATCCGAAGAATAAGTTTGTTTAAAAACCAAATGTGTTTGAATGTACAGACAGAGGCTGGCTTATTGGCGCGTAATGCGGAAGTCAAATGAAGAAGGACGAAGGAAGTAGTAGAAGAAGAAGAAAATACGCAAATTAAAGAGAAAACTACAATCTTTTCAATAAGCTAACTGCCGGCATTGTGCTTTGGTCAGTACATCTGCTGTAAGTTATCAAAATTAAGCATTTTAATTTCATTCTCATTCTAATTTGGCCAGATAATTACATCTTCGACTACACAATTTAAAACGGAATACCTCACTTTTCCAACGAAACTATTCGCATCTTCGTGCTATCGTTGAGTCGCCTACTACGAGCTGTAAAAATTGGAAAAAATCGCTGTTTCATTGAGATTTTCGTTCAGTTGAGTTTTTTCTCAATTTCACGATAATTACGTAACTTTTGTTACATTTCATGATTGCTTAAGATACATAACTCTTTATGAAACAAAATCTCCGAAATGTTTGTGACGTAACCGAGAATAGACGTTTTCCTTTTTTTTTTTAAATTTTCGTGAATTTCATCGATCATCACAACATTTTAAGCTTTGAACATCAGCTGTATTTTTATTATTTTAATATATTTTTTATATAACTTTTGTTTTTCAATTGATTTTTTTTTTGATATATTTAATGAACAATTAAAATAAAGAAAAGTATAATGGAGCCAAGTTTTTAAATCATTCAAAAAACATAGTATTACAGCTTGTAAACAAAGCAATTACTATTACAAAAGAATCATAAATAATTTATAATTTTAGTTTTTAATATGTTGTCCTTGAATAAAATCTCAAGAAAAGATCAAGAAATATTAGTTTATTTTTAAATTTTGAAATAACATTTTGTAGTTTATTATTAAAACATAATAAATTAACAAATAAGTCACTAAAAATTTGTTTGTCTCAAGTTAAGTTAATTTTATGTTTCTTTAATTATGGCCAAACTATGGATTCTATCCAATCAATGTAATAAGAGACTCTTGTATAAACCGCTGGACTACTTGTTAAAAGACAGGCTTTTCCAAACGAAGTCACTCCATGTATATCGAAAGCTTTTATATATTTCTTATTGTACTGTTGCAATGGACCTCCGGAATCGCCCTTAAAATGCTTATAGTAAGTATTGGTACTAAGTGCTATTAAAATTTAGTTACTTTGCAAGTATCTTTTCCTGGATCACCTGCACATATCTGCATTGATGGAGATATGCCTTTATTATAAAGACGTTTGTTGATTTTGTAATGGTTATTGCATTGGGAATTGTTCATTTCTCTGAGTTGAATCTTCTGCAGATGATCAGCAGGGGCACCATGAAAGGACAACTCACCCCATCCAGTTGCAAGAAACTTATCTTCATTCGCGTCCTCGCGAATATTCAGACAAGCGGCCTTTACGTAACTCGTCTTTTTTGCTTCTCTATCCAATTCAATTAAACCTATATCATGATATTTCGAAGGACGAACATAATTGGGATGCTTGTAAGTTCTTGCAACAAAAAACGATTGAGGAGAAGCATCATCAGTGTTACTCTTCAGATTTAAATCTCCTAATCTCACATGTTTAACCGGACCACTAAAATTGCAAATTTATTACTAAATCAATGAAAAGAAGACAACTCACAATTCAATATTTTGCAAACAATGACCCGCTGTCAGAACGAACTTCAAACTGATCAAACTTCCACCGCATCCCCAAATGATATCTTCATTGTTTGAATACCCCAAAGCTGCCTGAAATCAACAACAACAAAATATAAACATCTCAATTATTCTGAAATATAAAACCATATGAGGAAATTCTTTAGCCAAAGAAGGTTTTCCACCACCGACGGTTAAAAGTCCTGACCGTTTTCGCACATTTATCTCATCGCAATCTGAAAAATGAAAAAAATAAACATTAAAAGTGAGTAAGAATTTCTACAATTAATAAACAAACATTTAAGACTTTTAACTCCTGGTATTTTCACATCTTTATCGTTGCAACAAACTATTGGATAATCCTGATCGTAATTGCAAACCTTCAGAGCTACACTAACGTTCAACAATTTAATAGCCTCTTTGCACTCCTTGATTCCCACACAGAATCCTGTCGAACCATCATCAAAATCGCATAAATCACCTAACAAAAAAAATCACACATAATTAATAATTAATGAAAAACATCAAATTCACGCACTAATTACCGAGATACACAGTACCGTGTGAAATTACTAAATTGATTGTAATAATTACAGTCAATGAATTCACGTTAAACATGTTCAATCTTCAATCCGTTCTGGTAGACTAGCAAGTTTTGCGGAATTCTCTTCTTTTATATACACTTTTTTATTTAATTTTTAGTTATATGGTTATTATGGTACACGTATTCTTCATTCAGTTTGTAAACTAAAAAAAAATCCAAAACTATTTCTTATTAACAAAAATTAATAAATTTATCATTACATATAAATATACTTATTGCATATTAGAAAACAGTTAAAAAAAAACTAGAAATATATTTAGATGTTTTCCTTTACATTTTATATGTTATTTTTGAAATGTTAAAACCTGTACATTTGACAATCACTTTATTGTTGAATTTTAATTATTTACATATTTTATTATATAATTAACAATTCAAGTATATAATGCAAATTGATATATGAACAAAAGTTGTGATAATTAAGTACACAATATACATTTTTTTTTGTATTTTTGTGTTTTTATTTGAGAATAATTATGTAAACTTCATGGCCAAACAATTGATTCAATCCAATCAATATAATAGGAGACTCTGGTGTAAACACCTGGGCTGTTAGTTAGGAGACACGCTTTTCCAAAGGAAGTAACTCCATGGATATCGTAAGCTTTCAGGTAATTCCTATTGCGTATTTGCAAAGGTCCTCCGGAATCTCCCTGAAATATGTTACATCATTCACTTTGACACCAGAAGAAGTAGATGTTACCTTGCAAGTATCTTTTCCAGGTTCTCCTGCGCAAATTTGCGTTGATTCCACAATGCCCGAGTTATATAAACGCTGGTGTACTTCATAGAAGCTATTGCACGCTGAATTATTGACTTCTCTTACGTGCACTTTCTGAAGAATATTTGCTGGCGTTCCATGGAACGATAGCAAACCCCAACCTATAGTAATGTATACATTATCTTTTGGTATATCGATTACATTAAGACACGCGATCTTTACGTAATCCGTGACTTTAGCATCACGATCTAATTCTACTAAAGCTATGTCGTGGTATTTCGAAGGTCTCTTGTATTGCGGATGCTTGTATGTCTTTGTAACAAAGAAATCTTGTACCTCAGCATCATCTTCATCGCTTTTTAAGTTTAAATCCCCCAATCTCACATGCTTAACAGGTCCGCTGTAAGAGAGTTTTCAAATCTATTCTTAATAAGGTGACTGCAACTTACTATTCCAGATTGTCGAGACAATGAGCAGCAGTCAGCACAAACTTTAAGCTGATTAAACTTCCGCCGCATCCCCAGATAATCTCATTATTATTGTCAAAGCCTAAAGCGGCCTGAGAAAAAAAATTACATTATTAAGCGCTTCAGAAGTTCACACTCACCATGTGTGGAAACTCTTTCGGACGACAATCTTTGCCACCTCCGACATATTTCGTTTGGGGTAGTTTCATTATTTGATACTCTTGACAATCTAAAGCAAATATCTTTATAACTAATTGACTTAAGTGACAGAATTACTTACATTTTAAACTTTTGACTCCTCGCGTTGCTACAATCTTGGTATCATTACAACAAACCACAGGATACTCGTTTATATAGCTACACACGTTCAAAGTTTTCTTAACATTTAAAAGTTTAATAGCTTCCTGACAATCCTTAATTCCCACGCAAAATCCTTTTGTGCCGTTTCCAAAATTGCACTCATCTCCAACTGATTTACTATACACTAATTGCAGCAAAGTACAAAAAACTGTAATTACAGTTTGCGCGTTGTTTCTTCTTCGAGACATTGGATGAAAATACACTTCTAATATCATCAGAATTCTCTTTATATACAACATTCTAATAAATTATTATTATTATTCAATTATAGTTATGTTATGGCAGCTAAATTTAGAAATTCGTAATTTAATTATTGATGCGTCCAATGATAATTATGCCAATTATCTAAATATCAACAAAACGATTATGCAATTTTTTGCTAAGTAATATGCTTTTGGCTTGTATATTTATTCATAAAAATTGGTGGTATTAAAATTAGAAAGTTTTTATGCAGATTTTATGACTAATATAAAAATAATTTATATCAGTAAGTTACCAAAAAAATTCTCACTTCAATATAAAGGGTAACTAATAGCCGAATGGTTAAGTCGCCCTACCCAAAATTTCGTGGGCGCCTGGTTCGAATCCTGGTCGAACCAGGCCCTTTGTGAGCCCTTTCGGTGCTTGCAGCAATAGAGTCATCGTTCATCACAGGTGGACAGTCAAATGAATGAGGTTCAGCATATGGACTTTGAGCCATGCCGATAGACAATGACAGTGTTAAGGATAGTAGCAGATATACAATCAAAGGAAATTGTGGAATCGCAGAGCATCAATATACTACTTAAAAAAATAATCAAATCAATATAATGGTAACTATCAACCGGGAAAGATTATCCATTTAATGTCAACCGCGATCTTAAATTTACTCAATGTTCACATTGATGAACAGATTGTGAATAAAATTATACGACATAAAAAAACTTCAATATACAGATTTTTTCTTAAACAAAGTGTCATTTTGCTAAACTTTTTCCTCGATCAATCTGAGGTAGTTGGAGACTTTTGTGTAAAAGCCAGGACTATTTGTCAATAAATAGAGTTTTCGAACGATCCTCCTGAGTCTCCCTGCAAGTTAAATCCTAAAATATATCCCCATATGCAAAACCAGCGCAAATCTGTCTATTTTCCATAATTCCATTAAGCGTTTATCTCATAATACTTGTTGCACTAAGTGTTGTTAGCTTGATTCAGCACAAGGTTCTGAAAATGATCCGACTTAACACCCTGGAAGAACAACAAGCCCCATCATGTTGATGCTTGACAAAGTCGTTTGTCAAGACTGTAAATGTGTCGCAAGAATTTTGACATTTATGAAAAATGGTGGAACTAGAAATGATGAACAATATCAATTTGAACCCTGTTTCTTACAAGCTAAAATCAAAATATGAAGTTTTTCGTTGAGACGTTTTCTTTAAATTACCTTGTACACTTCTATGTCATGTAATTTCCTTGACATTTCCATCATCATAACAAATAGTTTTTCCTCTTCCACTGTATTGATAAAGCTCCGATTTGCTCTCTGTATCTAATCTAAAACTCCTATAAGCTTGTTAAAATTTTACTGCCTTAATGCAAACACCCATTGATCAATTTTCCAACTCGCATAATATTATAAACATAGTCATTCTTTTTTCAATTTTGCTTATCCAATTCAACTGTGGCTTTTGTACAAATTGAAAATAATATTAAACATGATTATATTCTTGGAAAAATTATGTTCCAGTGCGACAGGAGCAGCAAAACACTTTATAATACAAACGATTTTAAATGCGTGAGCTGCAGTAATTTATATAAAAGAAAGCAAACGTGGGAGTTGTATCTAGTTATTTCTTTTACCGAGAAAAAGATCACAAGATCCACCAGACATTGCTTTTCCTATTTCATAATTGAACAAGTTCAAAGTTTAACAAAAACTAATAATTAAACTTTCTGTTCGAAATTGTACATAAAAGAAAGTCAAGGTAATTATGTTTTATTGTAGCAGGTTTAAATTTAAATAGATTATTTAACTATTCACAATAATTATAATTGAAATTTATTAAAAAAAAATACAAAAATTATTGTCTAATTATTATCTTCTTTTTTTCAAAACTACTTAGTGTGTATTATTTATGGGTGAATGATATGAGCTTTCAGCCTGAAATGTTATTTAGCGTTTGGCCAAACGATGGATTCAATCCAATCTATATAGTTGGCCACTCGAGTGTAGACTCCTGGACTGTTAGTTAATAAACAAGCTTTCCCGAAGGACGTGACTCCATGAATATAATAGTTTCTTAAGTTCGTTCGCGATTGTAAAGGTCCTCCTGAATCTCCCTAAAAATGATTACATTGATAAAGTTGACAATCAAATAGTAAATGTAAACAAAATACTTGACAGGTGTCTCTTCCGCGATATCCTGCGCAAATTTGATATTGCTCGAGTATACCTTCACTAAGTACACGTCGATTCACTTCATATGCCTTCTTACAATCATTGTTATTCACTTGGTATAAATCTAATTTTTGAAGATGATCCGCTGCATTTCCTTGGAACGAAAGCAAACCCCAACCAGTTGCAACAAGATGATTGTTTGAGGTGTTCAGATTGATATTCAGGCAAGCTGGTTGTACATACTTGGTGATCACAGCTGCACGATCTAATAAGATCAAGGCTATATCATGGTACTTGACGGGTCGTTTATAAAGCGGATGTTTGTACGTTTTGGAAACAAGGAAATCTTGTGGATCGGCTTCATCGTCTGTAGTTCTCAAATTCAAATCTCCAAGTCTCACGTACTTTACCGGACCTCTGAAAAGAATCAATCAACTTTCATTGAATTTAATTATATAAATAATTCAAACAAATGTAGGCTATTCAGACAGTGAGCTGCAGTGAGAACGAATTTCAGGCTGATCAAGCTTCCTCCGCATCCCCAATAAGTCTCGTTATTTTCAGTATCTTCGTATCCCAATGCTGCCTGAAAAGAATATAAATATATTATACAACTTCTTAAAATGTGCAGTTAACTTTTTAAACCATATGTGGAAACTCGGCAGTCGATGATGGTTCACCTCCTCCACCGACAATTAAAGCAGATGGAGAATATAAATTTGGACCCCATTTCATACAAGCTAAAATCAAAATATTCAGTTTCTCGTTAAAACTTTTTCTTTGAATTACCTTGTACACTTTTAATTCCTACAATTTCCGTAGCATTTGCATCATCACAACAAATGGTTGTATCTTTTCCTTTGTATTGGCAAAGTTTCGGTTTCTTTCCTATACCTAATTTAATACTTCTGTAAGCCTGTTGGCATTTCAATGCCTCAATGCAAACACCTTTTGATCCATTTTCCAACTCGCATTCTTCTCCTAAATTATAAAGAAATAACAATTTACACTCTCAATTATTATTTTGGGCAAATAATATTAAAACAAAATTCATATACATTACACCAAACATTTTGTTTTCACTACTAAATACTTACTTCCATGCTACAATGTATACTAATACTGTATCTGACTCGTTGTAATTGGATAAAGATGCATTTGTGTTTTAATAATAAGTGGGAGTTGTAAATCGCTTCTTAACGTGTTTTTCTGTAAAGGAAGGTCATAAGATACAACGAGTCTGAGAACGAGTTCAAAGGTTATTAAAATTAAACAGATATAGTTGTAAATCAAGTAATTTTATATTACATTCAACAAAAAATTATAAATTCATTTCATATTTTTCCTTTATAAAATACTTTCTATATTAATTTTCGCATTTTCAACAATATTTTTTTTGTATGTAAATCAATAAATAAAAATTTAAATACTGAATACATCGAAAATCGTGTTCTCTCGGTTATCGGTAACGAACATTGCGCAACTGTTATTACATAGAAAGTTACGTAACGGTGGCGCCCTTCTTGCTTAACAATAAATAATGCACACAAAAAAAGTTACATAACTTTCACGAAATTAATAATAATAAAAATAACTGAGATCCCATCAGAACGCAACGTTATTATTATATAACGAATTGCGTAAGCCTATCCCAAATTCGATGATTCAATCAAAATGTTAATTATTTTTCAAGTTATTTCCATTTTAGTTATTTTCAGGCACTTTCATAATCAAAATATTAATGCTAGATTTTTTCAGCGAACTCATTCGAAAGGTGACGGTCTCCAGTTTACTATTCTAGTTATGTAATTATCCTGCATGGTTATCTTGAATTTTATGAAAAAGTAAAGAAGCTATTTCTCATCAAAGACACTTCTAACAACTCATAGCACGAACGAACCGACATAATACTAGTTGCTAGTAGGCTTCTTCGAAAGGTGAGATTTTCAGCTTTAATTCGAGTATTCGAAGACGTAATTAACTGGAGCGGTTATCGAGCAATTCAAGAAAATGTGAAGACATCGAAAATCGTTATGTCTTAGTTACGTAATAAACATTACGCAACTTTTGTTATATAATAAATTGCATTGATTAGGAGTAGAACGTAAAACTGTTAGTCCTTCGTTTTGTTCGTTGTGAATTCTTTAAGTTTTGTAAAGTTTTTTTTTTTAATATAAGGTAAAGAGAAAAATTGAAGGTGAATCTATTTGATTTACAATTTCAGTTGAAAATATAAGTTGATATTGAAAAGTTCATACAATTCGTGACATAATTGACCCTTGACACACAATTCGATCAATAAAAATCTACACTTATGTGCTCGCCGTTATGTGAATCGTTTCTTCTCTTACGTATTAAAAAATAAAACAAAATACTGACGTGAATTCAAATTATTATATTCATCAGTAATTACAACATCCAAATAACTTAATGTTATTGATTGTTTTATTCAATCATTTTCATTCCAATCTATTAAAAAAAACACACAATTTTGATATATTAATATAAAAATATTGATTAATCAATGTTAATTAATATTTTTTTTAACGTAACAAAACTATACACGACGAGAACTATTATTTCGGTTTTTGACCCCTCTAGACGTCTAGAATAATAAATTTAGCTTAGCAAAAACCGTCTTCGAGTCATTTACGTTTTTATGTAAGCACACCTAATGCATTTTTACTTTTAACTTAATACTATACTTTATATAAAATACTAAAAGGGAACGACTGCATTCATTTCAAGTAATTACTTTTCCATTTTCTATATTGATAATGTTAATTACAATAAGTACGTGACTTTTATGATAATTTATGACAAGCCTCCATTAGGTAATTGAAAGCAAATAAATAAAACAAAAATACTATTTCAACAAGAAACTTTGTCAGAGATGGATAGGTTAAGTTACAAATTTCTTGCAAAAATTGCTATTATATTCGGCGTTGGATGCTGCAAGAATAGAAAGAAACTATACTGTATCATGCAGTTACTTCTATTGATCGCAAGTATTTGCTGCCAAATAGTGATTGTATACGAGAAATTATCCAACAAAATACGCATCTTGAACGAACTAATCTTCAGTGGTTGCTCAATTTACATGTCTCTAATCCTTCTCTTCATAATGGTGATGAATCACTGGTATTTTGCTGAAGTGAATGCGTTCGGATGTGAGTTGGGGAAGTTACAAAGGGCTGTAGGGTTTACCAAATGCAACATGATTTTGCTGCAGGACGTATTTCTTGTCATCAGTTCAATGGGTTTGGTTATATTTTACTGGATTTTCTACGATTGGCAGCATTTTGTGTTGTATACCATAGGATTTACGGCTCCTAAAGTGGCGATAATCGTTGCCACATTGTCGTTCTGTAATTACGTAAATCTTTTGAAAGAAATTTTAGTTAAGCTCAACGAGAATTTGGGAAATATGCAGCCTCGTCAGGCTATTACACTCTACACAAGATTGATTGGTTTGGGACACAAATTGAGTAAATTCTACGGAAAACAGAATTTGCTCACAATCGGCCAATGCATCATGCTGATTATATACGAGATGTATCACCTAATATTACTGGTGTCAAACAAAAGATTCGAAGAGTTAGATTTGATCATAGCCGCATCCTCTTGGACTTTCATCCAATTATTTACCACAATCCTATTAGTAACAGTTTGTTCAGAAACCAAAGAGCAAGCAGGGAAAGTTTCATCAAATTGGATGTCATTCATCACCAAAGGCGAATATAAAAACGTAAATTAACATATATTTATACCATATAACAATAACTTTTTTTTTTATTGAAGATTAACCATTTGGGATTGAAATTGCTGCATGAGAAATTAACGTTTACTGCAGGAAATTGCTTCGAAATTGATGTGTCTTTTCTCTTCGTGGTATGCATTTTTCGTTATGTTTTTTATAAGAAAAATCGACAAGCAATTTAATGTTTTCAGTTCATCGGAGCCTGTATAACTTTCCTTGTCATTTTAACGCAATTTAGTAAGGAGCTTTGACTGTGGGCTCGTGAAATCTCCGTTTTCTTTGATTATACAGACAAGCGGGTTTGTTTTTAATGAGTACACATAAATATAGTAAATTTTTTCTTGAGAATCTTCCAAGTTTTAAACGATTTTAATTCAATAATTATTTTTTTGTTGACCAATCATTAATTTTTTCAATCAAAAATTTAAGTGCAAACATTTATTGATAATTTGTTGTGTACTAATGTTGACCATTCATAATATTTGTAACTTTATATTCAGAATTGTTTTCTCTATAAGTAAATATGAACTTAAGCCGTTTTTCAATAAATTTATGAAAAATGTTCAGTATTTTTTTTTCATAACAAATTTGAACAGTTTTCATATAATAATTCATTTGTTAAGAAATCAACTCTAAAAATTTGAATTAAATATGTATACTAATAATACTTTCCAATTCATTTCTCATTGTTGATACTCTTCCTTATTTCAAATGGTTATATAATACTTAACTATAAGATTTTTTTATTGTTTTAAACTATAAATTATATTTTTTTTGTATGCAAATCAATAAATAAAAATTGTTATCCGGGTATAACATGTAATTAATAAACTGTCGTTTCATTTTCGTGCGTTTTTATTTAAAGCGTCAAATGAAATAATTTATATTAAATAATATATGGCACGAAGTATTTTTTTTTCGGTTCGGATCGTTTTCAATTCTAATATTTTACGTCTGACATTTATGCAATTTTTTGCGTGCATCGAATGACGAATTTTGCATTGCAAATTGTCATGTGAAATATGATACGAAGATCATCATCGTTTGGGGAACATTGTGTCCAATGCTATTTAGGCATTGAACATTATGCACTTTTGTACTCGAACACTGGTCACGAGTAAAGCAATTACTTATGTACGACCTTCGCCTACATTTTTTTTAATAGTAACATCAGGAATTCTCATCAAGCTACACATTGTCTGCATTTTTTATTAACATTTTAATGATAGTATTATAGAATTTTTTGTAATGTATTTAACATGTACAAGATACCTACCAGTACGTATTCGATTAGTGTGGATTCGCTTTCCCAAACTTTTCCTCCGACGAAACACTTTGTAAATCCTGAAATTTTCACAAAACACTTTGTTTATTTGGTAGAATATTATTAACTTAGTAATTATTTCATTCCAGATTTTCACGCAACGAAACACTTATTAATTTTCCACGGAAAATCAGTGTTGCGGAGCATAGTTTGGGAAACCCTGTGCTAGAGTAAGGTTTGAAAATTTCAAAAGAAATATATACACAAAAATGTATACTTAAATTTTCGGATTTCTCAAGTTTCATTCTGCGAATTTATTTTTTATTCGATTTTAAAATCCCCAATTAGTCCGGTTTCAAAAAGTGCGGGATATTGTTGGAATTTGATTGCCCACACTCTGAGAGGTACTATATTTATTTATACATTATTTTTTGTAAAATATATATATATTAATTAATGACATACACATTCATGGTTAGTTATGCAAATAAAATAATGTAAGGATTATTAGCAAATTAGTTGTTAAATTCTTTACTTACAATGCGATACTTGCCAAGTAGTAAATTATTAAATTTTGAGTATTCTGCACGAGATCTTCGTAATCTCCATGACTACCATAGATTGTGTATTAAGTATTTATGCTTCCCGTAGTAGTTGATATATTTACTGTGGTTTTATTGTAATTAATTTTACTTGACAAGTCTCTTGCTAAGTTATCTTTTATTACTTTTGTATACAAACATATTTTACTAAGTTTATTTAAATAATAAAAATGAAATAATTTCTACATTTTTTACGTAAAATTCTTAAAAATTGAACCTGTAAGCAAAAAAATATTTTTTTATTAGTCACTTATCTTAAATAATTACCGAATTAAACATTTTCGAATGAATTTTTACGAATTTTATATAATACTTTATTGATTAATTTTGTAGAACATTTACATCTTAAGTTATGAACTATTAAGTAATTAATATTTTTTGTTTTCGTATTGTATTAGATTCTGTTTTCATGACTTTTCAATTATTTTTTAAAGTACTTTTTTCTAATTGAATCACATAGAAAGTTCTATATTCTCGAGATCGTGCATTTCCGTAAGAGGTGGGGTGGAAAAGGTCAGAAAGGGAGACATAAATGCGACTTTAATCGAATAAAAAGTAATGAAAAGATAAATTTAATTTAAATTGAATTATGAAATGATTTGTTTATTAATCCTTAGATTTTTGATAGAAAATTGAAGATTATAAGAAAATTAAAACAAATTTATATTAAATATAAATTTAATATAAACTTATAGTTTATGAATAAATAGAACCAAATTATTTCGTTAAAGTTTACAGAAAAAAAAAGATCAATCAATATACTGTTAAGTTGTAAATGGAAGATCGACTTTGAAATAAAACATAAAATATTATGTAAAACATATAATTATTGATTTACAATCAAATTACTTATGTTAATTTAACACATTTTTTTCTATATTTTCGACTTTTTTAATTATTTCTTATAATATTTAAATAACAATAAGATATAAACAAATATAATAAATTAAACATATTTATATAATCATAATAATGAAGAAAATATTAATTGTTACAAAGTTTTATTGACCATTGGTTTTTCCAGCCCATTTCTTGTTTACATTCAGTTTTCAGAAATTTATAATAGTATATTTTTTAAATTTTTAAAATATATGTTAAAAAATTGCTAAAATGTATATATAACTATTTAAATAATATTTATTGCAACAATAAGAAATGAAAAATAAAAACTTATTACAATAATAAAAAAAAAACTAGTGGAAATGTTTATTGACCATAGATATTTGTGCCCAATTTTTAGAGATATTTTGATACAAATATAATAAAAAAAAATGAAATTGCAAGAAGAATATACTAGCAAAGTAACATATTTAGTTCAATTTTAAATGCATTTTAATATTGAAAGAATAAGCATTTGCACTCTAGATCCTTTTCAGGAATACATTACTACAGCGACATTTTTAGTTCAATTATTCATGCATTGAAAGTCGAAAGAGAACTACTTAGAAAGATAGATTTTGCGATTTTTACTACAAGACTTAAATTGGATGACAGACGTCTTTACACAATGAAGTTAAAAAATAATGCACTTTAATATACAAAGAGATGCATTTACTCCATATACTGTTAAAAATGTCATCTTTAGTTCAATTATAAGCTGCAATTGAACATATAAAGAGAATTTGCTACGTATGTTACATGACTTAAATTGGATGGCAGAGGAAAATGCAGAATGAGATTTAAAGATCCATTTAGATGGGAAAATCTGGTTAGGAAGTCGGGAAGCAGCAGCATCCAGAAGCGTATAAAATGGGGTGGGGGTGTGTATTGATATGGATATAAGAAGCAACAAGTTGTGCGTTCGGAGTGGTGGATGAAAAGTCGCGCCGTGTACGATATCAATACTAATTATCTTCTGGTTGGGGCAGTCGCGCTCCTCTCGCACAGGTGCTCACCATACACGCAGCTATAGTTTCACTCAGGTGGTCTTCCGCTTCGGACGAACAACAGTTGCTTCTCTGAACACGGATTATCCGGGTTGTTTCATCCCAAAGCCGATCATCACCTTTTGTTGCAAAAAAGAGTGTTTGTTCCTGGTCAACTTCAACTACCAACCAGCTCAATTTTAAAACCGTAAGCATTCTTAGATTAATTTGTGTATATTTTTTTTATGAGATTCAAATATAATAAAAAACTTCAAATTTTCAAAGCGAATTAACACATTAAGACAAATATTTTTTATTTATTGCTTAAATTAATATTTTAACAAAATCATTCTGATTTTTTTTCTATATAATTTTGTATATTTCATAAAAATAAATAAGCCAGTTATTTTCATGTTATGAAAACAATTTACATTGAATTTGTTTGAATGAAATATAAGAAAATATTAAAGAATCTTAAGACATTTTTTAAATAAATTTAATAAAGATTGTTCACATTTGGGAGAAACACTACCCATTGTATGATGATTAAATAATCATTATCATCAATATGAACTATATAAAATGTTCTAAACTAAACACATTTAAAGATTTCATTGCCAATGCAATTTGATATATTCTTGTGTTTCTTTATATAATTTTTAAAAATGATTTATATTTAAAACATGTAAAGAATATAAGTTTACTAATTCTATATATTCAGCAGTTTTCATGAAAAAAAAAATCAAATTTTCAACTTTTTATAAAGCTAAATAAATCTCTAGTAAATAACAAACAATATTGAATAAAAATAATTGTCCGGTTGAAAAATCTTTGAACGAAAGGAAGTTTTATTTTTATTGAAGAAAATAAATAATATCAATAGGATGTAAAGACTAAAATATATATATAGATGTAATATCTTTCATTTTTCGTGGTGTCATTGCGTGGGATTGTCAAGAATTGGAATTTAACCCTTCGCTACATATTTTTAGGTATTACCTAGTATTACTGAGATTTGCGAGAAATATCCAAATAAAACATAAAATACTTCCTTTGAAAGATCTGAATGCCAAACTCTGGATGTTTTATTACCTTTCTCAGTAATATTTTCTATAAATGAAAGACTATTTTTTTATTGACGAAAGACGTATGTATTTATTTATTATATTGCATCCAACAAATAACATTATTTAAGATTGAATTGTAATAAATCTTAAGTAATTCGTGGAAATGAAACGGAGAGAGTCGAGTTTAAATAATTAATGGACCTCCTCCACGTCTTTACTTAATTTTTAAAGAAAAGGCCTAAACCAATTGGGTAGAGTTGCCTTTTACATAATGAATCTTCAGTAAAACATCAGCAAATGTATTTATTATCCATTTAGCACACTCAGGAAATGCGACAGTTTAGGTTGTTTTCTTCTTCGAATATAACAATTTAAAATAATTAATTAACTATTAAAAACAAATGTAATTGCTATAAAGTAATTAACAATAATTAATATAATCTATTTTCTCATAGACTTTATGTTTCGTACTTAAAAATGATCAAAATACAGTGAAACCTCACTTAACGAATTTAATCCGTTCCAAAATTTCCGGATTTTTAGTCGTATAGTGAAACATATTAAAAAATACACATAATATGTGTACACAAGTTATAAAAAAGATGTAGCAGGCGCGCAATCCGGAACTTCTATTCCCAACGTCACTCGTTATGCGAAACATCTCTCGTTAAGCAAGTCATTTTTCTTACAATTCATTTTTCTCGTTAAGCTATGTTCCACTGTATTCTGAAACATCGTTAAATTCAATACAATTTACTTGATCAAAGCAACTTCGAAATGTACTTGTATTATTACCCAAGTGGGGTTGTAAAACAAACTGAAAATGTATGATTTATGCATGTTTCCTATTATGATATTATCCTTGAAAGGATATTTCTATTACAATTACATTTGTACTACGTTTATTGTCTAAAATCAGTCATTGTACTTCAGGTATAAATGACCCATATGATATTCTAGTTAATATTTGTCATTTTATTAGCTGCTGTTCAGTTTAATATCATTAAAACTGAAATCTATCAATTGAACATATACATTTGTGTCTTTATATAAATAATTTGTATAATGACTCTAAGTGATTTTGGAACTGTTCAAAATTTGATTTTTTTTTTCATGAAGCGACTTAAAAATGTGATAATCCGAAGGTGTAATATCAGGTGAATAATACACCATGTTACAGAACATCTAAATCAAGTACTCTTATTGTTCTCTGCGTAATCCTTGCTGCATGTGATCTTGTTATGTAATGCTACTGAATTCTTCTTCACTTCTCATACCCAGTAAAAAAAATTCTAAGAAATGGATCGGTTTTATATCTGAGAAGAAATTTTCTTTCTGGATTTTCTTATCTAGTTTTTTTGATCAATGATTTTTTACTGTTAACCTTGAACCAACAAGATCTTGTGACAATTTCTTGATAGTTTTATGCCATTGAGTTTAAAGTATCATTTATATATCTTAAGAGATATCCGTAATTATGGTTTGCCCTTGAACTTCCTATTACCATTTTGCAACTATCTATAGCACTTTCAAGGATTCAATACATCTCCATAAATATCGTAGATAGTCTAAATAGTTTCCTTTGATTTCAATCCTTTATCAAGTAAAAGCAGCCTTAATCATTATGTTAATTTGTAGCATATTGATGAAGGTGAAAAATAATATTAGTACCTATTAGTTAATGGTGGTAATTAAGTTTTTATAAATGTAATTATCATTATTATATCGAATATGGCGCCAAATATGACATTTTTTAACCTAAAGCAGTACAGAAAATGTAGTGCATGCATTTGACGTGGTGACGTGCCCAATAATGTCCAGCGCGCTTTTGTTACTCTGCGCTTTTGTCGTCACTATGTAAAAAGTGTCATTTATGGTACCAACCTAAGTGAAATCTATAGGTTTCATTAGTTTTAACTAATAGAATATTAAAATTACTTAGTTTACACAAAATTACATAAAAGATTTATCAACGAGTTGTTTAAGAAGTGAAGATAACTTCATAAGGATTCAATTTTTTAATTATGTTTGTTACATAATTTTCTCTATGGTTTCGCCTCGAACAAGATTGTTTAGTAATCATTTATTTAATGAATTTTTCACTGTGTAAGTTCATTTTTTTTTCTGTTGGTACACTTCATATTGATTGTATTTCATTTGTCGAACAATACGAATTCGCGATTAAAACGCGTGACGTTAATTGTTTTATTAAATTAAAATATTCTATTTTTTGTTCCTGCGTTGGTGGCAATTCTACAAACTGAATGGAGCACAAAACTTCATGGACACAAATGCACGTCATTATTTCGAATCGATTCGTATTATATAAATATAATTATTCCATATAAAATGGTACACAAATTTGTTAAATTCCAATCAAAAGTATTCATTGCGCAATGAATGCTCTAATAACGAATTGACGATAAAAAGAAATAATAAAAAAAGTCAGTGTTGATATATATGAAATTATTATTTGTGGAGAATGTAATTAATTTAATTGCACGCTGATTGATTCATTAACAGGAAAAGTTATTGTGTTTTAGGAAACAAAGCAATTTGTTCAAATAATAGGAACATTTTAAAATGCAGCAATACCTCGTATAGTGCGTTTTTATTCAGTCCGAATTTTAATTAAACAATCAAAAATAAATTATAATAATTACAACAACAAAAATATTTCTTATACATAAATAATCGATTTATTTTCTATAAAATCAAGTTTCTTTCTTAAAGTCCTCGATTAGTCCAGTTTCAAACAGTGCGGAACTGATTACCGGCACTGTGAGAGGTATTGCTATATTGTATAAATAAAATGAAAATTTAGTTAAAACAAATAGAATTTAAGTATATTAAACAAGATAAAAATATGTTACTTTTATCAACAAATTATCACCTCTCATAATATTTTCAACTAAGAAGTGTCTAAATTTATAAAACTTATATATTTTGCAAAGAATCTATCGAAAATGTTTTAAAATCATAATAAATACTTAATTATACTTAGAAAGAAAAGAAATCAAATCAATAATATTTAATAACCATTATTTTGGGATTAGTAGGTTCAATAATAAAGTTTTCAATTAACATGATGGAAATATAACAATAATTGTAACAAATTTACTATTTAAAAAATAGTAAAAAATGATAATTTTAAATTAATTTGTACTGTTTCTTAATTAGAAGAAATGACAGATTCGAAATAAGAAATTTATAATTCTGGTATAAAAATAAAGTTTTCCATCTTGAAGCTAATAAACTTTGTTGGTAATAAATGATTGCAGTAAAATAATTCCATCAAATTTTATATTTACAAAATGTAATAAAAAAACTTAAATACAATTATTTTCTTTTTTATGTTGCTAATAAAGTTATTACGGTTTAGCATCATGTTTACAATTCTTCAGTCATTAAGTTTTTATTATGTAAAATATATATTGTGAATGAAAATGTGTATAAAGTAAATTTTTCAATTAAATAACAAATTTTATAATTATGAGAAAAAGAAATTGATAATTAAGCAAAAAAAGTTGAAAAATAATTCAAAATATGAAAAACTTTAAAATTCCAAATAATAAACAAAAATTAATAGAATTCAACGTTTTAAAATTATTATTATTATGACAAAATCAGTTGTAAAAATCCGGTTTCTCCATGAGAAAATAAAAAGAAATTTGATTTATGTAAATTCATTTATTTTAATTTAATAAATATATTGTATAAAACTTTATTACTAATAGATTTTTTTTAATCTATTTAAATTTGTGAAATTACAAAATAAATGTACAATTTCACGAATTTATTTAATTTATATTAATAGCTACGTAAATACTAAGATTAGACATAAAACAAAAGAAAAAATATAAAAATAACTGTTATATAATTCAATATATTTGTGAAAAATTGTTATGAACGTCGCTGTGAGGCTATTATGTCTGTAACAAAGTTTGTAATCTGTGACGTGAAGAACTGAGTCAACGAATTTCATTCTTCCGACGAAGGAGCAAAAATGATCTTATGCTTGCGTGTATATATATATATTAAAAAATCTTATGATTCTCTATGAAATTAAATACAAGGTGTACAGGATAATCTCACCAGAAAGGAGCGCTGATTGCGAAACAAATTGAATGAGCCGAACACC